GCGGATGTTGGGACGGATGGACGGAGAACCCTGACACAGGTGAGTGTTACCTGCTGGTGAAGGAGTTGATGGACGTTGATGACGCCCACGCCTACTGTGCCTCCCTGGCCCAGAACGACAACACGCCGGAGATTATCTCTCTCTCCACCTCCCAGGAACACGTCTTCGTATACGGTAAGACCACACCAGCTGCTGCTCCGTGTTACCTCAGGAGTCACATCAGAGGTTCATGGTTGGTAAGATAATATTGTCTGAACCTCTGTGTTTATATGAATGAACACTTTGTTTATATTGTGTCTCTGAGCTTAAGAACCAGTGCCCTTTGAACCCCTGACCAAAGTTTAAACTATTTTTGAATGATACAGCTTCCTAAAACACCTAAATTCCTAGATCTGTAGACACATATGAACGTCTAAATTATGAGAAGCTGAACCCCGGATATTTCTCATAATAAGAAAGTGAAGAAATGTGTATTGCGATTATAATTGTGACAAGAGAGACAGTAGCAGCTGGTCACTGTGTTTGGCCATCAGTACAATAATATATTTACAGATTCAGAAAAAAACAGAGGTTGAACATAATTTAGGCACGTACAGTCACCCAAAAAAGTCCTGTCGCGAACCACGAACCCCGAGATTCAGACTCGTGAACCCGAAGCAGTAGACACTGATACATTATTCTGTCCATAAATGCTTCGAATTCAAGAGTCTGAATCTCGGGGTTCATGGTTCGCGACAGGACTTTTTTGGGTGACTGTACCTGAAACTTGATTATCCTAACCAGAGGAAAACGAATTTTAAGTTTATATGTCCATATTAACTTAACCTAACCACGACGTGAACATTGACTTCATGTCATGTCGTTTGAGAGTGACCTTATATGACCCTCTTCATATGTCCCAGAGTGGGTGAAGGGGCAGGTGGTGGACGGCGACCGCCTGTGGCTGGGAATGAAGAACATGGCCGACAATTACTGGCTGGACGGAACACCTGTTGGGTATTTCAACTTCGCCCCCGGTGAACCAGACAGTTACCAAGACGGCAATTACTGCATCAGTAAGTGTGTGTGTGTGTGTGTGTGTGTGTGTGTGTGTGTGTGTGTGTGTGTGAGTAATTTAAGGACTGAGATAGCTACAGTAGTAATATTTCTCACACATAATATATTCACCACTAACAGGTATGAGACACTTATAAACCAATTAATCAACCAAAATACACACCTGTAGTCGCCACTCTCACACACTTGTCCCTTCTCTAGCACACACACACACACTTTAAATTCTACTCCGTGATTTTTGCCCAAACAGGTCAGGACACGAAAACAAGACATATTATCTGAATATTTTTATGAGTGTCTTTTTGACTTACCTGTCCCGCAGTGATGTCCATGGCTTCGGGGCTCTGGGAGGACGCTATTTGCCTAGTGGCCAGTGCTTTTATCTGTGAGATGAAAGGTAAGTTGATTATCTCTCGTAATCAAGCGTCTATACAGTAGAATATTTTTTGTCTTTATTAAATATTCCCTTAATGTATATTGAATATTTCTTAGCGTGTATCGAATATTTTTTAGCACTAGATTGTATTTGCAATATTCGAATTGATAATACTTAATGAGCGTTGTTATGTGGTCTGGCTGAATGAATTATACCATTGATTTGAAATGCACTCTTTTTTTTCTTTCAGGCACCAATTATGTGGGACCCATAGTGCTCCCGCCCCCAGGTGAGTGCCATACATGGGTAACCTCCTCCCACACACCTGACACAACACACTTCCCACACACCTGACACAACACAGACACCTATTATGTATAAAGTAATAATAATAATGACCAGTAACAAAGATATAGTGACTAAATTACTGTAGTGGACCAATTAAGTGATTAGATTCAGCTTATGACTTAACAAGATGATATAATTATATATTTATCATGATCTATGAGAAAATTAGGTAATGTTTGTAAGATAAATATGAATATTTTTGTGGTGTGTTGGTACTTACAGCAGGACTTTAACACACCCTTTCCCGTTACATACCTCCTCCAACACACTCCATACCCTTACACACCCCCTCCAACACACCCCATACCCTTACATAACTGCTCCAACACACTCTTTCTCCTACCAGCTTGGATATACAACTAAACTAACAAGGACTCTTCTGTTTGTTTGTTTGTGTGTGTGTGTGTCGACCAGCTGGATGCCCCTCTGGCTGGCAGTACAGAGATGGATACTGCTACTACCTATCCAACACCTACCTCAACCACGACGACGCGACTAAATGGTGTGCAGCTAACTTGGCTACCCACCTGACCTCCATCAGTAATGACGATGAGAACAACTTTATCCTAGGTAAGTGAGTCATTACAAAATTATACCAAGATTGAGGTAAAAGAGATAGATAGATAAATTAATAGAGAGAGAGAGAGAGAGAGAGAAACGCCTCTTGGGTTAGTTAATTCAGTGTGTGTTTTGGAAATAATGAACAGAATAATGAAAAAAAATAGTAATGATATTATTATTATTATTATTATTATTATTATTATTATTATTATTATTATTATTATTATTATTATTATTATTATTATTATTATTATCATTATTATTATTATTATTATTATTATTATTATTAACAGAAGAGGCGTTAAAGGGTGGAAGGGAGGTGTGGCTGGGTCTTCAGGTGGATGAGGGTGGCGGCTGGTCCTGGGCGGATCATTCGACCCTCAACTTCACCAACTGGTATGGCGGCCACCCATCCTCGGCCGACTGCGTTAAGGTAAGCCAATTTCCTCACATCTACAGGTGGTCACTTATAAGGTGTACTCTACCTGTGGTGTGTGTGTGTGTGTTAAAACTACTACTACTGAGATGATTGACACCGAAGGAACTGTATGTATGGTGACAGATGGTGTATGTACTGTATAGTGACAGATGGTGGACATACAGTGACATATGATGGATGTATAGTAACATATGATGGATGTATAGTTACAGATGGTGTATGTATAGTGACAGATGGTATATGTATAGTGACATATGGTGGATGTATAGTTACAGATGGTGTGTGTATAGTGACATGATGGATGTATAGTAACATATGATGGATGTATAGTTACAGATGGTGTATGTATAGTGACAGATGGTATATGTATAGTGACATATGGTGGATGTATAGTTACAGATGGTGTATGTATAGTGACATGATGGATGTATAGTAACATATGATGGATGTATAGTTACAGATGGTGTATGTATAGTGACAGATGGTATATGTATAGTGACATATGGTGGATGTATAGTTACAGATGGTGTATGTATAGTGACAGATGGTATATGTATAGTGACATATGGTGGATGTATAGTTACAGATGGTGTGTGTATAGTGACATGGTGATGTATAGTGACAGGATCTTGGTCTTTTCTATTGCTTGTACAGATGGTGTCGAACAACACCGACGCAGAAGGCACATGGGAAGGGGAGGACTGTCAGCAAAACCTTCGATATATCTGCAAGATGCTCCTCAGTAAGTCTACGTTGTCAGGAACCAATCAGCTGACACTCAACGTCAGTAACCTCACAGCTGACACTCATTGTTGTCAGCAACCTCTCAGCTGATACTTAAAATTCATCTGACAAGTTGTATTTTCAGTTATCTCGGTCATCATATTTCTGGCTTATTATCTTCTGTGGTAACCTTTATGACCTACTGTGACCTAATGTGACCCATTGTGGCATCATAAGATTTAGAGTGACTTAGTATGACCTAGTGCGACCTGTGACCTAAGATGATCCTTTATAATCTAGTGTGACCTTATGTGATATACAGTACAGTAGTATGACCAACTGTCATCTTGTAAATGACCTGGTATGACCTAATGTGACCTTGTATAACTTGGTAAGATCTAGTGTGACCTAGTGTGACCTTGTATAACCTGGCATGATCTAGTGTGATCCAGTGTGACCTTGTATAACCTGGAATGATCTAGTGTGACCATGTATAACCTGGCATGACCTAGTGTGACCTTGTTTCACCTGGCAGAAACGTGCCCTCAGGACTGGACCTATCACGAGAGGAAATGTTACTACGCTAACCCGAAGAAGATGATATGGTGGGATTCTCACAACGCCTGCAAGGTCAACTCTAGTGACGCTGATGCCACCTTGGTGAGCGTTCACAGTATGGAGGAAAACACCTTTGTCGGCGGTGAGTGGTGGTGGTGGTGGTGATGGTGTTGATGGTGTTGATGGTGTTGATGGTGGTGTATATGGTGGTGGTAAGTAGTTGTGAGTGGCACATTAGTAGATACAGTATACTAGTAGATACAATATACTAGTAGATACAGCATATTAGTAGATAAAATAAACCAGTAGATACATCATACTAGTAGATACAGAATACCGGTAGAAACATTATAGTGATAGATACAGTATACTGGTAAATACAGTATACCGGTACACACAATATACTAGTAGAAACAATGTACAAGAACACTGTATTCCCAACATCTTGTTCTTCAGATATGCTCGGCACCATAAACTCAAACGTCACGGGGCCCTGGTTAGGTCTCTCCTTTGACACGGCGATGGGAAATTGGACGTGGGCTGATAACACGGTTCTCGACTTCCTGATGTGGGACACTAACAGTCCTTATCCGGTGGAAGATAAATCCTGTGTTAAGATGGTTAACGATACGGCCATCGACTACCATCTGAGGTGGACCAATTTGCCCTGTGAGACGCTCTCCCCTTCCATATGTCAGCTGTACCCGAGTGAGTATATGGTGAAGCTGTTCTTGGGTGAGGTGAGGGGAGAGTTTTGCCGGATATCTGACAAGTGTACGATGTCTCTTTCGATTTTAGGGAGGTGAGTTTATAGAATACGTGAAGGATTTAGTAGGATCTCAATGAAGGAAGTTATTTTATTATAGAATGGATAAGAGGATATCTTACCAGACTAACGTAACGTGACCTATGTACACTTACTGTTACCTACACTTACAGCACACTTGATGGGCTGTGAGGACGGGTGGTTGGAGTCCTCTGGCTGGTGTTACTGGTATTCGAGGACAGAGAGCACCATGGCTAACTTCCTAGATGCCATGTGGGACTGTCAGGTGAGGGGCAGTGACCTGGTCTCCATCAACACCCAAGAGGAGAACGACTTCGTGGGATCCATTATCAACAATTGTAAGAGCCATGTTTATCTCTCTCTCTCTCTCTCTCTCTCTCTCTCTCTCTCTCTCTCTCTCTCTCTCTCTCTCTCTCGTATTGTTTGTCTTATTTTTCATTCTATCTCGTTTCTCTCTTTCCTATTTTTACTCCCTATATCTCTCTTTTTATCTTAATGAAAGGTGGAAGTGGAAAGTAGATATGTGCATAAATAAGTGATGACGTGAACAAGTGGGTAAGAGGGTGTTAGAGCCCCGCTTCACACCATGGCCGGAAGCGGACATATTCTGACGTAATTTGTCCGGAGGCAGACGATATGTGACGCCGCGGTGGGTGGTGTGATGAAGATCCCAGCTTATCTACTGCCTATTACACTACTCTTTGTCTTTCTAGGGAGAGAAAAACTGTCCTCCCTCTAGGATAAAATTTGAAAGATTCGAATTAGATATGATTCGAATATAGCGTGAGATATGTGTTGTGAACTTGACCAAGTTGTTTGAACAATTTGCGTCAGAATATATCCGTTCCGGCATCAGGTGAGCGGGCCTTTCGGGTGAGTAAATGTATCAGTCAGATGATTCCTTGAATAGTGATTTATTATTCATGATTCACCTTCAGATAACAATTTAGAGATCGTGTGGTGGAGCTTATGAGTGACTCTGAGTAAAGTGATAGATGAAGAGTAAGAACTGTATGTCGAGGTGGATGTAAACAATCAACAACTCGTAGGTAATAGCTTGAGTGTTGACTCCTTGCCAGTCTCACCTGTGTACTGTAACTGTCCCGAAATTCCTTGTTAAATGACCCTCTCCCCTCCTGTCATTGTGTATTATCTCATTTGTATATATTCTGTTTATGGCTGCTGTATTTATTCATCATCATCATCATCATCATCATCATTAATGTGTAGTTTTACCGAAAAATCGACGAATGAATGACCTGTGTTTGTAAATGAATGAGTGAAGGAGGAAGATTACATGGCTGAATGACTGAATGAAGACGTATAAGCATGAATATTACTCTCAGTACCTCTTCTCCCCTCCCCCCCTCCATCAAGATAACTACGCTGACGTGTGGGTAGGCCTGACTGACAATCGCCATGACGCCGAGATGATTTGGACGGATGGAGCCCCTGTCACCTTCACTAACTGGAAGGCCCTCAACTATGCAGGTACACCAAGCTCGTCCAGATTCGTGATATTATCGTAAAAAAAAAATTCACTTATGCTCCTTGATTACCTCTGTTAAGCTGATTAAACTGATTAACTAACTAATTGATACTAAGATGTTTAATAGACTATCTCCCCTATTTGATTCACTGACTACCATTTGCTAAGCTTTTGACATTTCAATTTAAAACCTTTCAGCTTACCCATGTAGGCTACCAAGGGTTCATTAAATAAGTCATATCAACAGAAAACTCAATATGGCGGATGTTTCCTCGAATTAACTATCCTTAATATTCATAATTTATTACAAAAGTGTTCATGTTGTCCTATTTACGTGACTCCTCGTCTATTTCTGCTGGAGTAGTTGTGCTTATAGCCAGTATCTTCCTTTATGTGTCGTGACGTAACAACAAATATATTTTCAAATTTCGCTTTCTGTTCAATGTCATTTGCTAATTTATTTGATTCACCGTACATGGCCCTGACTCACCCTACAGACGTGAAGTACCACCCTATGTGTGGGTACCACTACAAGTTTGGCACGAACAACGAATGGGGGCTGGGCACGTGTGACCCCCGACAGTACTACGTTTGTAAGAAGCCGTTTACCGCCATCCCCATCACCCCTCCTGACACGGGCTGCCGCTACGTGAGTTAGAACGCCTTAATTAACACGTTCTATAGGATACAGTTATAGTTGTGTTGTCATATATCCAGAATCTGTCTTCATGTTGTACCTTAAGTGACTTAGTCTGATGTGTTCTTTCATCTCCTGTACGGGAAACATATGCGACCTATAGGAAATTCCACCTTTGTGTTCTATCTTAAGTGAGTCAGGTAGATAGGGAAAAAACTTAACAATATACTGTGGCTTAGAGAAAATTGAACGTACTATTAGCTATTGAGAATCCGTCTTTGTGTCGTATTCAAAGTGTATATGTGTTACTATAACGAGTAATAGAGGAAGCAGTCATAATTACGTTGGTGGCAGGTGACGTTTCGTGTGTTCTCAGGGCGACGCAGCCTACAGTGGGTCGTGTTACACCTTCCCCACCTACACACACAGCTGGGACAACGCCAACCGCTTGTGCAAGACCATGAACGCTACTCTGGCCGTGGTGAACGACAGGTGAGTGGGACACTAACTCACAAGCATGAACCCAAGTTGTTCTTCCAGTAATTATATTATCAATAATAATTATAATTTTAATAAGATTATTTCATTATTATTATTATTATTATTATTATTATGATGATTATTATTATTATTATTATTATTATTATTATTAACCTGAGCACTTCTCTCACAAATGCCACTCTATGTATCACAGGGCAGAGGGAGCCTTCCTATCCATGTACCTGAGTGAGCTAGGAGCGACGTCATGGCTTGGGCTGAGAGGAACTAGGAACAGTGACAACGCCACCACCTTCACCTGGATCACCCAAGACCCCGTCACCTACACCCAGTGGGCGGTCGACCAGCCTAGTGAGTCATCTTACCTGTCTGCTTTTGTCGGTCTGTCTGGCTCTGTCTATCTGTCTGGATCTCTGTCGGTCTGTCTGGTTTTGTGTCTATATGTCTGGCTCTGTCGGTTGTCTGTCACTTTGTCGATCTGAGTGAGTAATGGCATACCGGTGATTGACGGTCTGAATGTTTATGCGTATGATCGTTTGTGTGTGAACGTTTGTGTAGGAAAGTTTGTGTGTGTGTATTATAACATACTGCTGAGTGACGTTCGGAATGTTTGTGTGTATGAACGTTTGTGTGTGAACGTTTGTGTTGGAACGTTTGCGTCTAGGAACGTTTGCGTCTTGGAACTCTTGTGTGTAGGAACGTTTGTGTGTAGGAACGTTTGTGTGTAGGAACGTTTATGTGTCGGAACTCTTGCGTGGAGGAACGTTTGTGTGTAAGAACGTTTGTGTATAAGAACGTTTGTGTGTAGGAACTCTAGTGTGTAGGAACGTTTGTGTGCAGGAACTCTTGCATACAGTTATTCTTGCGTGTAGGAACTCTTGTGTGTAGGAACGTTCGTGTGTAGGAATTTCGTGCAGGTTCCAGCATTCTAAGGCTACGTGTGTTTACCTCTGACAGATCCACAGTACGGGGCAGAGTGTGTGTCAGCTGCTGGAAATGCGACGCCTGGTGGGATGTGGACAGTCAGGTCTTGTACTCACCGTCCCCAATTTGTGTGTAGGTCCACCACCACCCTCTTGTCTTTTGCCCTGCCCTGACTTGTACTATATCCTGACCTGACCTGTTTTATCCTGCCCTGAACTGTTGTCTTTTGCCCTGCCCTGACTTGTACTATATCCTGACCTGACCTATCCTGCCCTGAACTGTTGTATTTTGCCCTATCCTACTTTATCTTGACCTGTACTGTTCTGGTCTGAGCTACTATATTTTAATCATGACCTGTTCTCTCATTTTCTGATCTGTTCTAACCTGTCCTAACCTGTTGTTTCCTGCCCTGACATACTGTATCGTGACCTGACTTGTTCTTTGCTGTCCTGAACCTAACCTGTTGTATCTTATCCTGACCATAGCTGTTGTATCTTGTCTTGAACTACAGTATCCTGCCCTACCCTGCTGTACCCGGCCCTGAACTACTGTATCCTGCCCTCACCATCTGTATTGTGCTCTGATTTACTGTATCTTGCCGTGATATACTGCATCCTGTCCTCCTATTCTTAATTAGTGATATATTTGAAATTTTCTTGATTAAAACATTAGTTTCCTTAATTTCATGTTCATTCTGTCTGTCTGTCTGTCTGTCTGTTTGGCTAATTACTCTGTTCTTATCATCTCATATTATGGCTGTGGTGTTGTGCTGTGTCGTGGTTGCTGTGATTGCTGGGGGTTGTGCAGGCGAATATAAACGCACAGGACACACCCCCACCCCAGCCCCGACAACACAGCCGCCTCAGGGTGGCTGTGGGTACAACTGGACTCTACATAACAACCGCTGTTACAAGGTGGGTGTTTATTTATCCTAGGTAAGGTCAATAGTCTTTATTTTGTCTTTTTTTTTTTACGCTCTTAATTTAACCTTTTGAAGATGATGATTTAACCCTTTAAGGACGATGATCTAACCCGTTGAAGACGAGGATTTGACCCTTTAAGGACGATGATTTAACCCTTTGAGGACGAGGATTTAACCCTTTAAGGACGATGATCTAACCATTTCTTTACCCTTTTATTTACCCCTTCATTTTAACTTCTTTATGTTCTAGTCCAAGTGACAGTCCTAGGTGTAGGTCTCATGATATCTCTTACATGCTAGTAGAGGAGAGAGAGAGAGAGAGAGAGAGAGAGAGAGAGAGAGAGAGAGAGAGAGAGAGAGAGAGAGAGAGAGAGAGCACTTCAGGCACTACAATGACATCAAAAACGTGACAAAATAGTGACCCCTCATCTACCGCACATATTGACTGTAAACAAACCGTACACTCTATAGCTCAGCATTTAAACTGTAACAGAGAGTTAACCGACCACTCGACCGGCTAATAAGCTGACCAGTGATGAAGAGGATAAGTAATCAAATAAGTATGTTGGTCTCATTTTCCTCCCTCCTCACAGGTTTTCTCGGAAGACAGTTCGTGGGGAGACGCGGAGCTTGTGTGTGCCTCATATGGTGGTCACCTGGCGAGTGTGGCTGACGCCCATGAAGAAGCAACCATACTGGGGTTAGTATATACGTATTGTACACAATCTGGATTCTAGAAGCTGTCTGTGGTGTCGGTGGCATTCATGGCTATCTGTATGTCTGTGCTTTTATGTCTGTATGTCTGTTTGTCTGTCTGTCTGTCTGTCTGTCTGTCTGTCTGTCTGTCTGTCTGTCTATCTCCCTGCTCCTATATTTTTCTTTCTGTCCCTCTGTTAAAGGGTTATCTGCCCAACAGGTATGCCAGTGTTCTGCTTAGGGGAGTCAAAAGTACCAGAATGAGAGCATTTGAGCTTGGCACGCTTCAAGGAGCAGTGCTAAGTCCAATGCTCTTTAATAGACTGATGCACAAGCTTATTGCTGACATTCCAGTTCAGCCGAACGAGGCTGTAATATGTTATGCTGATGATTTTTGCATTATGACACGTACCAAGCCCAGGCTTCACGCCTTACTGGATGTATTTGCTCGGAGGACTGTGGAATGTGGTCTCATAATGTCTGTTGACAACACGAGGATCATCAATCCTCGTCCTGCTCACCCTCTGTCTCTTAACTTTAGCATTAACATATTAACAGCATGCTCTTGGAACTGTACAGCGCTTATAAATATCTTGGAATTGATGTGAATGAAGCGAACTTCGTCGGCAACCTTCGTACCAAACTATTACAGGATTTTGAACCCCTCAGAACCCTTGTTGGCAAGGGCTATGGAATTAACATCACCTATGCTCGTACTTTCTATTTTCACATCATTCGATCTGTAGTTGACCACCATGCTCTCCATCTTGTAACTATTCCCTCTTGTCATGGTTTTGGGGTGGATCGGTGATAGTAGGAGTGGATTATATTATATAAAGATAATAATATGTCGTATTTCTTATTTCTTACCGTAGAGTCCGATACCTTCACACTGATTACTTACAGGAGATTATGGCGTATCTACGTAGAAGTTCACTCCACCACTCGACATTCCATGATTTATACTTGATAAATGATGATTTAATGAATTCATTTAATTTTCAACATCCATCTAAGTTATTGGTTATACTATGTCATAACCAATCAGTCATTACCTTTAGTAATAATAAGATAGGATCACAGATACGGGCAGATAATTGCACTTACATTTATTTGTCAAGCTTCCATACAATGATTTACAATTTGCATGGATATATGATTTACTCACGTTCACGCTGTAATAAAATTAATCTTCTAAAACAGGAATTTTCAACTTGGGGACACATGTGGTTACTCTACTATGGGTGTGACTTAACAGAGCCTTAATTCTTCAAGTGATACATTTACTGCCAGCCTGGATTGCTTTTGTTGCAACCAGGCTTCATCACAAGAACTTCTTCCCACGGCCATAACAACAAAAAGGTACTCTTGGGTTACCACACATAGTCTCGCGTCACTGACAGTCACTGTGGACGGTTGTCGCGGCAAGTAGAACTGGTAAGCGTGACTTGAATTAACCATTAGGTGCAATAGACCAGCCTGGATTGCTTTTGTCGCAACCAGGCTTCCACACGTGATATTTCCACAGGGATAACAAACCTAGGTTAACACACTTAGTCTCGTGTCGATCACGGTCACGGTAGACGGGTGTCGTGCAGGAGAACTCTGTAAGCGTGAATTAATTAACCATTTACTGTAGGTTTGATAGGCCAGCCTGGATTGCTCTTGTCGCAACCAGGCATCCACACGTGATATTTCCACGGGGATAACTAACCTATGGTTAACACGCTTAGTCTCGTGTCGACGACGGTTCACAGGACGGAGTGCGGTGGAGGACTCTGTGTGGTGTGGTGTCCCGCCCCCCCTTCAGGAGGGAGAGAATGGAGACGACGTCCTAACTAACCCATGGCTCAGGGGATACTCCTTAATATGAGGTTTTTGGGTGTGAAGCGATGAACAGTACAACACTGTTTCACTGCCCACCCCCCTAAAGGCTGGCTAACATACACTAATGGAAAAATACATGTCCCAGTTATGCCTCGCCGGGCGTCTTATCTCTGGTAAAACAAACTTTGGAGTTGGTTGCGTGGGTAAGCCTAACGCAACCCATGACACCTCTAAACAACTAAACAGCTTGGAGGTAGTACAAAATGAAGCTATGCACATCATTCTAGGATTCCCCAAATCTACCAGAATTGTAAACATGAGGAAAGAGCTCGGGTTACCCTCCCTATCTGAGAGGATAGCTCTACTTAATACCATGTTTTGTGTCAAACATTTGAAGAACAATGGTCCCCAAACTACAGCCCAAACTGAATTGATGTTCTATCTAAGTAATCCCGACTATCTCGCTAACTTTCCACAAAAGACTCTCTTTGGGGCGTGGCTTCATAAAAGTGTTGCAGATCTCTTGAAACTGAATGTCCCAATTACCCCAGACGAAGCCTTTAATGCTATTCCTCCTTGGCTGGATATATTAGTTCCTATTAATTACACTCCTGTTAGTAATAAGCAAATGTTAAACGCCAATGTGGTCAGATTATTTCACTAGAAACTATTAGCAGTCACATAGAAAGTATTAAATCAAGTAAATGTTATGCTTTTACTGATGGTTCTGTGCCATGTTGTGCATGTGTAATATATAAAGAAAACGAGATGATAGTGTCAAATATGCAAAGACTGAACAACTGGGTCAGTACAACACAAACTGAACTAATGGAAATCTACTTAGCTACAGACTACCTTAAAGAAAATGGAGGTGAGGTGATATTCTGTGACTCTCAAAGTGCTTTGAAATCAATTGACAGCCGTCAGGTTCTGTCTAAATTTGTCCGTGATATTAAAATAAATGTGATAACTGCTAAGGAGAGCAACTTTCGTATTTAATTTTTTTGTGGATTCCGTTCCATGTTGGAATTAGGAATCACGACTGCTGATAGACTGGCCAATGAGGCATGTAAGAAAGAAAATGTTGACCGGGACCTTGGCCAGTCCAATGATGTATTTAAAAATGTACATGTTAAAGTTAAAATCATGAACTCTGATCTAGAAGAGTGAGAAATGCAGAGAGACCTGGTAGTTGTAGCATTAGTACTACCAGCACAAGGACAGAACTAGACAATGTGATGTAGTCGTGGCCAGAATTAGGCTAGGATACAGACACATCTGGCAAGGTAGTAACGCTGTACCCATACCGGAACACTCAGCAGGTAAACTTAGTGATAAACCTTTAAAGCATACACTTGAACACTATATTATTGAATGACACTGTCAAAGACTTCAGGCCACCTGGCTTATTGTATCACGAACTATGTAATTACTACATTGAATCAGGAGTGCTTGAGGACATTCTTGCCGTCTCTCCTAGATTGGCTAGCCCACACTAATTGGTCCTCAAATAGAATATAACTTATACTGTATATGAACTACTGTCCTACAAGACAGTGAACAGTGATATCACCCTCATGCCTCTCTCTCTCTCTCTCTCTCTCTCTCTCTCTCTCTCTCTCTCTCTCTCTCTCTCTCTCTCTCTCTCTCTGTATAAGCCAATGCTTCACTCTATCTATCTTTTTTCTCTCTCTTTCATTTTCTTTCTTCCTATCCCTCTTTTTATCGTTTTTCTCTCTTACTTTTTTCTCTCCCTCTCTCTGTTTATATTTCATCATAATTGTGTGGCATAAACTACTCATGGTCTTGTTGTTCATTAATTGGTGAATAATTATGGATACGAGACTATTTTGGAACATAACTTCAGTTGAAAATGTTATTTTAACCCCCTGAGGATGATATTTTAACCCCCTGAGGATGATATTTTAACCCCTTGAGGATGATATTTTAACCCCCTGAGGATGATATTTTAACCCCCTGAGGATGATATTTTAACCCCTTGAGGATGATATTTTAACCCCCTGAGGATGATATTTTAACCCCTTGAGGATGATATTTTAACCCCCTGAGGATGATATTTTAACCCCATGAGGATGATATTTTAACCCCATGAGGATGATATTTTAACCCCTTGAGGATGATATTTTAACCCCCTGAGGATGATATTTTAACCCCCTGAGGATGATATTTTAACCCCCTGAGGATGATATTTTAACCCCCTGAGGATGATATTTTAACCCCTTGAGGATGATATTTTAACCCCTTGAGGATGATATTTTAACCCCTTGAGGATGATATTTTGACCCCCTGAGGATGATATTTTAACCCCCTGAGGATGATATTTTAACCCCTTGAGGATGATATTTTAACCCCCTGAGGATGATATTTTAACCCCTTGAGGATGATATTTTAACCCCTTGAGGATGATATTTTAACCCCATGAGGATGATATTTTAACCCCCTGAGGATGATATTTTAACCCCATGAGGATGATATTTTAACCCCCTGAGGATGATAGTAAATAACTGTCTTTCTGTCTCTTTCTCACAGCCTTCAAGACTTGGTGAATCTTCCCCCTTTCGAGTCCATCATCTGGGTTGGCCTGTACTCTGACGGGCGTACAGGTAAATTGACAGGTGGAAGGGACAGGTGAAAAGAGAGATAAATAAGGGGGGCAAATAGAGGTTGTTGGATTAGGTAAGGAGAGAGAGAGAGAGAGAGAGAGAGAGAGAGAGAGATCGTCTTTATGGCAGAGTACACAGATCTCACACAAGCTGGGTCCCTCCCTATAGGCTACGAGTGGAATGATAGGACGCCCTTCGCCTACGTTGACTGGGAGGCGGGCCAGCCAGACAGCTATTACGGCAGAGAGAACTGTGGCTCCGCTAGCAGGAAAACCTTGAAGCTAATGGACTCAGTGTGCAGTAGCCTGATGCCCTTTGTATGTGAGGCTCAGCCAGGTAAGACTACTTTTAGGTCTTTAAAACTGTGTGTGTGTAATAGTCTGATGTCACCAATGTGAGACTGAGGAAGAGGTAAGACTGTGACAGTGTTGTTGAGTCTTAGACTGTGTGTGTGTGTGTGTGTGTGTGACGTCGGGTGAGACTATTTCTGGAGTGCTGTTGGGTCTTAAGACTGTGTGTAATAGTCTGATGACTTTGTGTGACACTGGCACAAGTAAGACTGGTTAAGTTTTAAGACTGTCTGTGTGATAGACAGACATTCTTTTTGTGTGAGACTCAGCAAGGTAATACCGTTAAAACAGGTCAGGTCAGTACGGCAGACAAAGTTTGATTCTACTATTATACAAAATATATATAATTAATATAAAATAATGGTTGCCCCTCGTGTAACGAGGATGGCCGGCCCTAGGGCCACTTCGGCGTGAATTTGTTTAAGGTGTAGAAGCTATCGCCAACACAACAACCACACCTTGAGTTAACGAGTTGCATGACCCAGTGTTAAGGAATAGTCCGAGAAGACCGGACAACTCTCCAACTGCAATGGCTAGCCATTACCCCGTAACTCGATCTTCAAATCTATAAACATCCAGGTCCCCAATTACTGCTGGGTAGACAGTGGCAAATGGCTTAAAGAAACGGGCCCATAGTTTCACCCTGCCCGGGAATCGAACCAGGGTCCACATGCTTGCGAGGCGAGCATGCTGACCGATACACCTACAACAAATTCACGCCAGATATCAACCCCGTATACTGCCGCTCTGAAGTGATAAGATTTTGAACAAGGACAGCTGAGTTCCGAATCCATTACCACACCGCTTACTCACCTTAATTAACCATTTACCTGTCTACTGAACACAGGTACTATGGTCAGTACCCTCCCACCTCCGACGACGGTCCCGAGTGTGCCGTGTGAGGACGACCCCAGCTGGCTCTTGTACGACGACCACTGCTACAAGATCGTCTCCGGGGCCGACCTGCACACCTGGGGGGACTCTCACCTGCAGTGTCGAAAGGACGGCGGGGAGCTCCTCTCCGTCCACACCTTAGAGGAGAACGCCTGGATAGAGTCTAAAGTATGATGATGATGCTTATGTGCCTTGAGTATAATAATAAACGATAATGATAATAATAGTGATATTTGAGTGATATTAAATAATATGACAATTATATCAATGCTAACTACACATCACCTTATAGTAAATATGTGTGTGTGTGTGTGTGTGTGTGTGTGTGTGTGTGTGTGTGTGTGTGTGTGTGTGTGCTTCTCCCTGCGTCAGATCTCCTCCATGTCCTCCACGAGCTTCTGGACTGGTGGACAGGCACTGATGGACTCTGGCTTTGGCTGGGTCGACGGGACACCTTTTGATTTTGACAACTGGGCCAAAGGAGAACCTAACAACGATATGGGTGAGTGTGGTTCATGTTTGTGATGTTGATGTTATAACGAATTAGTGAGCTTTAACTAACGTCTCTAATTGTGTGAAGAATTAAATACCGTCTTAGGAAACTCTTATGCTAGGAAATGTTTAAATATGTGATTGGGTCAATGCTAACACGTATACCTTCATGGCTGTAACAGGTGCGGAGGACTGTGTGGCCATGTACAACCACCGTCAAGGGTACTGGGGCGACGAGAACTGTGGCAAGTTGATGGGTCGTGTGTGTAAGCGTCCTCACGGGTCAACACTGGCCCCACAACACACCACACCTCAACCTTACGGCCGCTGTCGTATGGGATGGGTGGCGGACGGTGAGGGACCTTCTTGTGTTATTTATAATTCACCATCAATGAAACTAAAACCATAATAACTAGAATTTTTGTGTCACTTGAAGATTAACTCCCGCAACTTGTTTTACTAGAAGATTCATCATCATCATCATCATCATCATCATTATTATTATTATTAATATTATTATTATTATTTTTTTTTATTATTCTACAGGAAGCAATTGTCTTAAGTTCTTTCCCGAGGAGAAAAGTTTCGATGCCGCACGAGCCGCCTGTCAGCTGGAGGGAGAGGGAGCGGACCTGGCCAGTATCCACACACCTGAGGAACAAGGTGACTACCACACACGTGGCATATATGACATACCTGTGGCACGCATGACACACCTGTGATACATATCTGACATATCTGACAACACGCTTGCGACTCACACTTGTGATAGTCTTATGATACACTTTTAAAACAATTGTGACACCTGAAGGTTAACAAAGTACTTGGGTTCATACAAAGGAGTGTTAGTTACAAGACTAGCGAGGTTATCCTAAAACTATATCTTGCGCTTGTGAGACCTCACGTGGATTACGCAGTTCAATTCTGGTCACCGTACTAAAGAATGAGTATAGAATCCCTAGAAAGAATTCAGAGGAGAATGACAAGACTAATCCCGGGCATTAGGAACCTTGAGTACAGAGACAGGTTAAAGCATCTTAATTCGCACTTCCTCGAGAGTCGTAGAGTGAGGGGCGATATGATCGAGGTGTTTAAATGAAAGTCAGGGCTAAACATAGATGACATTACAAAGGTACTCAAACTATCCAACCAGGAGCGAACTCATAACAATGGTTTTAAATTAGACAAATTTAGACTTAGGCGCGAAATAGGTAAACACTGGTTTGGAAATATAGTAGACGGGTGGAACAAGTTACCAAACATCATCATTAACTCGAATACGCTGGATAGCTTCAAACATAGGTTGGATGGATATATGAGCGATGGGGGTTGGGTGCAAACGGGACTGCCCAGTATGGGCCAATAGGCCCGCTGCAGTTTCCTCCATTCTTAGGTTCTTATGTTCTTAAGGTATCTGAAACACACTTGTTCTCTTGTAGCACTCAAGTGACGCACCTGTTGACATACATGTTATCGGCAAGGACATGTGTAACATATACAGATATCTTGGATACATTTGCGCACATGTTTCACCAACACCTGTGCTCGTTGCTTGCCTCATTAACACCCATGTTTTCTGTTTGTTGCTTGTCACCTGGGTTTGTTGCTTGCCTCGTTAACACTCATGCTTTCTGTTTGTTGCTTGTCACCTGGGTTTGTTGCTTGCCTCACTAATATTACAGTAATGCTTCTACTAACGCTATTGTTTGTTGCTTGCTCTCAGCGTACGTGACGGCGGCGGTTGGTGAGCTGGAGGCGAATGTGTGGTTGGGACTCCGAGGGGCAGATGATCTCCACTGGGTCGACCAAACTCCTGTCACCTACACCAACTGGTACCCGGGCGAACCCAGCGGTCAGCCTGGCAAGGTATTGGGTGTTCCCGAGGAGTGACAGCTCTTTTAACCTAACCTAACCTAAAGCTTATTGACACGGGCGTCTTTTTTAGGCGGAAAAATGGGTGTAATCCGTTTATAATGCACAGGTTTGAAAGCAGGAAGGAAGGAAGGAACGAATGAATAAAGGAAGGAGAATATGGGAGGAAGAACGGAATGAAAGGAAGAGAGGGATGTCATAAGGAAAGAAAAGAAGGAAATAATCAAATAAAGAAAAAAAGGAAGGAAATAAGGAAGGAATGGTTGAATAAAAGAAAGAATGAATGAAAGAGGGGAGATACTATGTGTTAAGGGAATGTACTACTTTTAACCTTTCCTTACTCTACAGATGAGGTGTGTTGAAGCTTACGCCATGAATGGCCAATGGAACGATGACTTGTGTGACGGATTCAAAGGTTATGTGTGTAAGATAAAGAAAGACGGTGAGTGGGGTGTCTCTTTATGGGATTTTGTATTTAAGGGGATTTTAGGATTTTGTATTTAATGAGATTTTAGGATTTTGTATTTAACGGGATTTTTAGAGTTTTGTATTTCAAGGGGCATTACGATTTTATAATGAATGGGATTTTATGATTTTGTTTTACTTAATGAGACCTTATAATTTTGTATTTTATAGGGAATTTTGGGATTTTGTATGTAATGTAATTTTAGGGTATTGTATTTCAAGGGGATTAGGATTTTGTACTTTAGGGGATTTTAGGAAACAAATCTTAATGGACAAAATTCCACCACACACCTAAGCTGGAGCGGGTTTTGTCCAGTGGGGAATTTTTGTCTTACGTGATATGTTGTTTATTAGTGGTTAATTAAGTCACCTGAAGATTAGGCACCTAGAGCTATTTCACCTGATTATAAAAAACTAATGCTAACCTAACCTAACCTAACCAAAACTAATTTTACCCTTTCCTCCAGATAGCATTAGGGTGTCTAATATTCAGGTGATTCTATTACTTTATATTTTCCTTAATCCTCTTGATGGTATTGTGTTCTGTCCAGCCATTCTAAGATGACTGTTGTTGTTGTTTTTTTTTTGTGGACAGATTCAGACTCAGACACCGTCAAGCCGTGTTCACCTCCCTACCAGAATTACATGAACTACACCGGCGCCTGCTACCGTTCTGAACTCACCCGGAAAACCTGGCATGTATGTTGAGACTTGCATGACACACACACACACACACACACACACACACACACACACGTAAAATCAGTGTAAAATCAACGCTATAATCCTTGCGTCAGTGTAAACCGGAGTTAACACTGAAATGACGTTTTGTGTCTTTTGACAGTGTTACATTAACGAAAATTTCTACCTTAAGTTGTATGTATTTAGAAAACAAGAACAAAATTTATTATTTATTTTTTAAGTTTGACTGACGTGTTATCATCTTGGTTGACGTGTTATCATCTTGGTTGACGTGTTATCATCTTGGTTGACGTGTTATCATCTTGGTTGACGTGTTATCATCTTGGTTGACGTGTTATCATCTTGGTTGACGTGTTATCATCTTGGTTGACGTGTTATCATCTTGGTTGACGTGTTATCATCTTGGTTGACGTGTTATCATCTTTGACGTGTTATCATCTTGGTTGACGTGTTATCATCTTGGTTGACGTGTTATCATCTTGGTTGACGTGTTATCATCTTGGTTGACGTGTTATCATCTTGGTTGACGTGTTATCATCTTGGTTGACGTGTTATCATCTTGGTTGACGTGTTATCATCTTGGTTGACGTGTTATCATCTTGGTTGACGTGTTATCATCTTGGTTGACGTGTTATCATCTTGGTTGACGTGTTATCATCTTGGTTGACGTGTTATCATCTTGGCTGACGTGTTATCCTCTTGCATGGGTGAGGACGCGGAGGCAGCGTGTGTGAGTGAGGGGAGTCACCTGGCCTCAGTGAAGCAAGTGAGGCAAGGAGCCATGGTGTGGGTGCTCTCCTACAACCAGGGTGCCCGCGACCCCTGGATAGGACTCAACAACATCAACGTGAGTGTAACAACATGTTGTATGGCCGGGACAGTGTTGTAATGCTGCTACCCCTTGATTACGAGGACTTAATCCTCAATGCCATAACCCCTTCAGTACTTAATCCTTTGATTACGAAGACATAACCCTTCTGGTAATATGACTTAAACCACGCAAACTTAAACCATTGAGTACGAACCATTAACCCTTTGATTAAGATGACTTAACCTTTTGACTACGATGACCTAATTCCTCGCTGCAGAACCACCACCAGTTCACGTGGAGTGACGGCTGGCCCACCACCTACACCAACTGGGCTCGTGGCCAACCCAACGCCAGCCTCGCCGACCACAACTGCGTCAGGCTGGACTCATCTAACGGCCTCTGGTACAGCGAGAATTGTGACCAAGTCAGACCCTTCATCTGTATACACGAGGAAGGTGTGTACACTGTGGCTATCTTTATTGTGACTGTTGGAAAAAGATGTATATAGTGTCTTGTGACTGTTACAATGTTTTTAATCTCTTGATGTAACACTTGAAAAAATTTAATGTATCGTGTCTACACCAGTGATGTAGTCGAGACCACTAAGTCAGAGAGCGAAACCTTTAGAAGTCAATACTGAGACAGGGAATTTGTATGGATCACCTGAAGAGACATCAACATACTCAGTTCATTTGCTGATGGTCCGTATTTATGGGGCCTCATTATTATCCTCCGCAGCTTAATACGCGCTCAACCGCAGTGCTAACAAGAGGTAGGTAAACACTGACCTGGCTCACGTCATGGTCAACACCTTACTTAAGAAAATTTACCACAAACCAGGAAATCCCGACTTATTCACAACTTTCCCCAGACTAGTTTATTATTGGTTTGAGTCCTACATCACTGGTCTATACTGGATTTGATAAACCAATGTTTGTTGATGTTTGTGTTGATGTGTCCAGGGCCGCCACCCACACCTGAGCCGCCCGTCAATGGTCACTGCCCGACTCACGACTGGCTGGACCTGGGAGGCGCCTACTGCTACCTGGCCGTCACAGACCAGGAGACCTGGGTGGACGCAAGTGTCAAGTATGTAGGTGGTAATGGTCAATAACAGGTGCATAGGTAAACATATATGAATCTACCTATTTAATTATTTATCAATTTAGCTATTCGCCTCTCTCTGTCTCTCTCCCTCTCTCTCTCTCTCTCTCTCTCTCTTGTTTATAAAGGTTTCTGATTCCTTTACTTTCTGAATCCCACGTTTTAGAAGGCACTTTATTTCCCCAGCTGCTCCGACCAACAGGGAGGCCTGGTGTCCATCCACTCACAGGCGGAGGCGTCGCTTCTTTCCACAGTAACCAGCAACATCAAGGACTCATTTTGGACTGGTCTAGTGTTGTCCACCAGCGGTACGTCTTGCTTGAGTACGATGTTGTTGTCTTAAATCCTCGAATAAGAATATTTATCTTAACCCCTTGAGTACGATGATTTGTGTATTAACCTCTTGAGTACGATTAGTTTTGTATTAACCCTTTGAGTACGATGAGTAGTGAATTCACCATTGAGTACGATGAGTTGTGTATTAACCCCTTGAGTACGATGTCTTAACTTGAATACGATGACTTGTCTTGACTAGTTGAGTACGTTGACTTATTTTTAGAGTACAATGACATCTTAACCAAGAAAATAGGTCATCCTTACTGTAAGGGTAAAGACATCGTTCTCTAGGGGTTTTGATTCATTGTATAAACACACACACACACACACACTATCTTCATGAACTTACCTCTCAAAAAATAACCCGTCACGCTCTGAACATTGGCTGACTCAGGATACGTATGGACTGACGGCACGGGACTCGACTACATCAACTGGGATGACGGCCAACCTGGTAATGACTCCCAGAACTGTGTGGAGATGCTCACCAGAAAAGGGACCTGGGTAGATGTTGACTGTACCACCACCCGCGCCTTCGTTTGCAAGACTGAGAAGAGTAAGCTTGATGGGTTTTGTTATTTAGTTTGTGTTAATCTCCGACTAAAACTCACACTAAGATTAGAAATATTCTTTTTAAGATAATTAATTTCACGAACGTCCTTCCCACAGTACCCGACGTCCACCCAACACCGCCACCCACCAGTCAGCCAGGTGAGTTGATGAGGTCTCTGTCACAGGTGAGTAATTAAGACTAATCTGACGGTACAGGTGTATGTGTAAGCTGTGTTTTGTCATGGGTGGGAGGAAGAGGAGGAGGAGGAAAAGGGTGGTGAATTAGGAGGTGGATGAGGATGAGGTGTAGGAAGAGGGTGAAGGAAGGGGTGACATAATAGTGACTACCGTGAATCACCTGTCAGCCTACCCCCCTCTCACTCCCCCACTCCTCTCACTCTCCCACTCCTCTCACTCTCCCACTCATCTTACTCTCCCACTCATCTTACTCTCCCACTCATTTTACTCTCTCATGCAACATTCACTGAGGTAATGTCCTGACGCTCCCCCACCGGCAGGACTTAGTACTGGCGGGGTGGTGGGCATCGTGCTGGCGGTTGTGGTGGTGGTGGCTGGGTTCGCCTTCCTCGGCTTCTACGCCTACACCAGACGAACAAGGTACTCCTCGTCACACTCTCAACTTCACAACGTCGATGGTCAGTCATCGTGTGATGTTTCTTTGTTTATCATGATTCCCAAGTTCTAATTTCCTGTGCTTGATTTTTGTAAGTCCTAATTTTATGGTGATTGATTACTTTAAGTCATGATTTTATGGTGATTGATTATTTTAAGTCCTGATTGATTAAAGTCCTGATTTAATTGCTGATTAGTTACCCCGGGGCTACAAGACATGAGCAGTAGAGTGCCAGGCCGCCTAAAACAACCCTTGAGGTTCATCTTTAAGGATCTGAAGGGACTACGACCTCCTTCTGGGCAGACGCTGAGTGATTAGAGACAGACAAGGAGCCTCTCGCAACACAGAGGACAACTTCCTGGTCATAACACTTTCAAGATCTGATAAAAACCCACATAGGACCCGGGTTACGACCTGAGAGAGCTACCCACCTTGCAAAGTGGATAGAAGGAATGAGGTTAAATAAGCACAACATAAGCTGAATAACCGTCGTGTCCCGGGATCTGCATTGTCGTTGCTGAAAACATAAAACCGGAATAAGGAAGTGTCTATGTAGCTTTCATCGACCTGAAAGTGGCGTTCCACTCTGCTTATCAAACCTCTCACAAGCTCTCTCACCAAGTGACAGAACTTACCTCCAAATAATGATATTTGGTCAAAATTATTTGCAAGAAATGTAACAGCTGCGTTCGGTAAGCGTCAGTAGAGTTTGGCAGTGGTGTGAGGCACGGCTGTGTGGCTGTCGTGAACCTCTTCAACACAGCTGGGAAGTGTGGGATACAAACATTGGTTGACCGGAATTATGAACTCCGTCTCTGTAACTTACATGCTGCTGTTCTTGAGTATGTAGATAACACCGTGTGTCTGTTGCACATCGTGAAGAAAAACTAAAAATCTAAATATATTGTCTGACCTCCAATTAATCTGGTCAAAAATTATATTGATGTCCCTGGCCACGAGTCACACTTCCCATTTTTTCTCGGGTGTTAGACAACCAATGGAGCTCGTAAAGTCATTGGTGTTTGGGTTCATCATAAACAAAAAAGGAAGTGACTTGTAGACATCAAACACCAACTCGTGAAAGCCTCGGACATTATGCAGTCTATTAAGAAACTATTGTGGCGGGAGTGTGTTTTGAGAGGCGGCCATCATCTCTGTGCTTACACTGTAGGTATGGCTCAACATCCTTAACACGGACACCAAGTGTACCTGGTCTGTGTAAGAGACAACACAGCACTGCGGACAACAGATGGCTCCACCGTAGCTCTGATGGAGACGAGTGGAACCAAACTAAACAACCCTTACAACTTTGAACCTGATAAAGCCTTGGTGATCCTTCACACGGAGACGCGGTCACAGCCAACCTTACATTAACCATGGTGGGAGACGGGTGATGTGGCTTGACCAGCAAGAGTGAGTGAGTCTCTGGATCCTAACGTGATGTTCTTCGATGATTTTAATTTGACAGTATTCCTTAACATGTGTCTATATGCAGCCAATCATAATGTGAGAGTTTAAATTTACCTAACACACAAGACTCATGGTAAGTCACAAGTTGATGATCTTTTGTTTATGAATCTAAAACCAGATATATTTAGTGGAATTTACTGTGAATATGTTGATGGAATGTATAGTGGTCATGCTGAGGTCTGTTTTATCTAGTGACATACTCTAATTTACTACATTATCGTCTCTCAACACCTGTCTGTCTGTGTCTCCTGTATAGGTAGCACCAATGACAGCTCCTTCTCGTAGACGACACAGACGGCTTCAGCGGCTCCAATATTTCACTTTTACGTCCAGATAAACTACAAAGTGTCATACAACAATTACACGCGTGATAGACCTTGTCAGTGGACGTCACCTTCGCTACAGTGGGTGTCGAGGGAGGGAAGCACAGCTGGGTGAGGGACAACACTTCTCACTCACTTCAAGGACTCAGGCGTCGTCTGGTGTTGTTCATCGTTAAGCTCTTATCTCGTGTCTTAGTTATTAGTGTTATAGGGCCACCTGAAGTTTAGTCCCCTTGCTTATTTCACCTCAAGATTACCTACCCTAACACTAACCTACCCTAACCTAACCTACCCTAACCTAATCTAACCTAACACTAACCTAACCTAACACTAACCTAACCTAACACTAACCTAACCAAACCTAACCCTCAGGTAACATTAGTTTATTTAATCACCAGGTGAAGTAAAACAGTTGATATACAAAATATAATACCAATCCTTATACCGTCTCCTCCAGTGTCTTAAAATATCTATATACATTTTTTTCATATAATCTAAAGAGATAGAAATGAAAAAGATTAAAATGCTATGTAAATATTAATAATTTTAATAAATATAATATAAACTCTCTGGATTCTCATTCTACAATACTACCTCTACGACTACACTCTTACAGTACCTACACCTCCTGCATTAATAACTACACTATTGCACTACATACTACACTGATCATGCCACGCAAAAACACTAAATTTCACCAAGAAAAAGACCTGACAGGATTTAGTATAGCATAATGAGCTTCGCCATGCTCATAAACATAGAAGTAGACACGGAGTTCACACACGCCTGACAACTCTTATCATTCTATATATCGACACCCCCAGTGCCCCTCTAGTCCTCCCAGTGCTTCTCTGACCCTCCCAGTGCTTCTCTGACCCTCCCAGTGCCTCTCTGACCCTCCACTAGGTCACTGGCGGTGGGTCAGTATGCCCACTTACACAACACAGTACTGGCCGGGTTGTTTTGCCATCAGCTGTAGCCTCTTATTAGTCGTATTATTTCAGAGAGGTTCTACGCCACGATTGCATATTACTTCCAATTATGATCTGATTTACAGCAGTGCCGTCACTGACCCAGGCTGAGGGAGGCCACAACTCTTCCACCACAGCACAGCCCCGGGTGTGTGGTTATACGCAGCGTGTTGAGAGAACGATCCAGCAGAGGTCGTAGTTTTTTCACCGGTAGGTCAGTCCAGTCATAAGAGTTTTCTAGTTTTGGTTCACCTCAGGTGTCAGTAGGTGTGGTACTCTTGTGCAAACTTTCCTGAGGGTGACTGATGAAGGTCATCTGCCAGTTACTACTGCTGCCGTGATGGTACACAAAGAACAATTTTGGTCCAAGGGCATTTATTGCTGGACTCGGTACTGTGTCTGTGAGGTACAAGATCTACACACTGGGGCTACTGTTGTGGGTGGATGAGGGAGGGTCTGACCTACAGGTAGCTGAGCCAGGTGTGTGTGTCATCAGGCTTCTCCTCAGCAGTGGGATCTGTGGATACCAGTACCAAACTCAGCTGGTGTTTGGGCAGCTTCAGGGTGTTGTGATGTATGTCAGTACTTGAAGGGGAGGACAACCTGCTGAAGAGTAAATACAACTTACACACAGCTGGTGATAAGACGTCGCTTAACCTGTGTTCAATTTATTCTTCAATCACAATGACTTTATACATAGAGTTATAGAGAAGTCACAAGGCGTCCGGGACTCTTTCTAAACTGATCCAGCATTCCCGTATGAGCAACCTCGCTGACAGCTCCCAATGACGCCCTCGTGAGTGACGCCCTCAAGGTCCATCTTTGTGTAGGAATGACTTAGAGTCCACTGTGTTAAAGTCAAAGTGGCCAAGATACCTGCTAAAGATGTGCGTCAGAAAAATTACAAAGTGACGTCCTTGTGGCTCGAAGGTCATGATAACTGAGATGTACTGTATACATAACGGCAGACCATAATAACTAGTATTTTGTGTACAACTGACTCACGTGACGCTCACCTGTACCTTACCCCACTTTATAGTCTGAAGACGTCATCATATCGTGTAACTAAGACCCCGAAAGAGGTTTTGGTGTTTACTACAGAGCGCCTTGAGAGATCTGCCTTACAATGCATCACCCGCCTTGACACGTTCCCTCACTTTCCTCAACGTAACGTCACATCTCTCTTGAATCAACTACCTGTGTTTACCTCTGGTCACAGGTGAAAAAATTTAAGGTTGAGACAAGTATCTTCTTTTTGATCCTTTGTTACAGTGATATTTGATTGTTACTTAACTGTTACTTAATTGTTACTTGACTATTACTTAGCTGTTTCTTGGTTGTCACTTGACTGCTACTTAACTGTTACTTGACTGCTACTTAACTATTAACTATTTCTTGACTGTTACTCAATGGTTACTTAACTATTACTTGGCTGTTATTTAATTGTAGCTTAACTTACTTTACTGTTACTTAACTGTTACTTGACTGCTACTTCACTGTTACTTGACTATTACTTAACTGTTACTTGAATACTATTTAGCTGGTACTTAATTATTACTTACCTATTACTCAACTGTATTTAACTGTAACTTTGCAGCTTTACATACTTAAATGTTATTTACTTGTTACTTGAATTACTTAACTGTTACTTATTTATTAAATGACTGTTACTGTACCATTATTTGACCATAACAAATGAACCCTAATTTATATGAGTCTACGAGAATGGGGAATAGTTTGTTCTGTGAGTGAGTGAGTGAGTGAGTGAGTGAGTGAGGGAGTGAGTGAGTGAGGGAGTGAGTGAGTAAAAAAAAGAGGTTTTATTTTATTTTATTTTAAGTAAAAGTTGGAGGCAGGTGAGGTGTGAGGAGGAGGTCATAGAGGGATGGAGGGAGGCAGGTGAAGGAATGTATGCCAAGGGGTAGGGCGGAGCATGACTGGGTAGGGTTTCAGGGTAGGATGTGGATAGGGCATGGTAGGGTAGGGTAGGGTATGGTTTGAGGTTAGGGTAGGGCCAGGTAATAATTCATGGTAGAGCAGGTATTTGAAGTCAGGCTGACACATGTTTGAGAGAGAGAGAGAGAGAGAGAGAGAGAGAGAGAGAGAGAGAGAGAGAGAGAGAGAGAGAGATGCCTGAAGTGAAAAAGAGGAAAATTAATAACTATGTACAGTAGAGTCATGCAGTGAATGTTATGATATACGTGATGTTGTGAGGTTACGTCACGACACGGTGCCGAGAAGGTCACACACACACACACACACACACACACACACACACACACACACACACACACACACACACACACATACAGTACATACACACACATCTTCAAACGGCATCGTACACACATTGTTTGTTTATCTGCACTGAATTCTGTAATCATGCTGAATAAATGTGAATTTGTATGAGGATTTTACTGAAAATCTATCTATCTATCTATCTATCTATTTATCTATCTACCGGGTATGTATGTATGTATGTATGTATGTATGTATGTACGAATGTATAAGGCGACCTGTTGTGTAATGCTCAGCATGCTCGCCTCGCAAGCTAGCGGACAAGGGTTCCATCCCCGGGCAGGGTGAAACTATGGGCAAGTTTCTTTACGCCATTTGCCTTTGTCATCCTAGCAGTAATTGGGGACCTGGATGTTAAACGATTTGCGGATCGTATTCCGGGGTAATGGTTAGCCAGTGCAGTTGGCGAGTTGTCCGGTCTTCTCGGACTATTCTTTGACACTGGGTCATGCAGCTCGTTAACTTAGGGTGTGTTTGTTGTGTTGGCGACAGCTTCTACACCTTAAACGAAATCGCGCCTAGGTGGCCCTTGGACCGGCCATCCTCGTTACACGACGGACAACTATTATGTATGTATGTAGTTTTAGGTGTAGAAGCTGTCAACACAACAACCCAACCCTGAGTTAATGAGGTGTGTGACCCAGTGTCCGAGAATAACCCAACCGCACTGGCTAATCATTACCCCGGAATACGATCTGTCGATAGATTAACATCCAGGTCCCCAATTACTGCCGGGTAGATAGAGACAAATGGCGTAAAGAAACTTGCCCATAGTTTCATCCTGCTCGGTGATCGAAGGAGGCGGGGGGAGGTTTCTCTCTCAGATCTCCTGATTAGCCCCCCTGAAGATTATCCAACCTACTGCTAATCCTAACCTAACATAATGTAACCTAACCAACCTCCATTACTCCACCTCCCTCACCACCCCCCCCATTGCCCTTCCTCCCTTTCACACCCTCCACCCTTTTCTCACAAACCATCTAGTCTACTTTTACACAACAGTTCACAACCCTCTGTCTGAAGAAGAAGAAGAAAAAAGAAGGTTGGGTCCCGAGGCGTACAGGACATCCTATACTGTACCTCGTGTGTGTTCCTCTCCTCCTCCTCCCAGAAGCCAGATTCGTATACTTTTATACAACCTTCTTCTTTAAGACTATTATTTGGGAGAAATGAAGAAAATTGCACCTTCTTGAACTCTGATTGAAGATGACGTTATGGTAGAAAAAAAGAAAGGACAAGAAAACAGAGAATTTACTACACAGCTTCACAATTGCCTGAAAGATAATAATAATTGATAGAGTTTTTTGTGTTTCCTGTTGGGTGCAGTCGTGTGGTTGATCTGTGGTAAAAGGTGAAGATATGTTTGAGCTTTTTATCTTTAAGATTTTCTGTCTTATACGGTGAGCTGCTGCCTTAACTACTAGACACGCAATATACACAGCCTGATTTACAGACTGACTTACAGACTGACTTTAACACACTTGGAACTGGAAGATACCAGAGAGAAAAATTTCTTAAGTTACCGCAATAAAAAGTCGAGCTCGTTTTTTGTTGAATGGTGATGAACGACAATGTTTTTGGTACAACTTATATAAATGCACAAAAGTTCATATTATATTCTTCGTTCATTGATTATGTGAAGGTGTAGGATTCTATTAATTAGTATTGACATGGAAATTGTTGAATTATCCTAACATTAGGGTCAGTTAGGGTGATGCAACAAGTTAGGGTGGAGATTCTTTATGTGATACCAAGACTCTAACACCATTTGTTTACCTACACTGTCTAGGCACACAGGAAACTGGTTGCTCCCACAGCCGACGTGCACCGCTTACCTACATTATCTATATTCATGTTGAACTGTAAAACTGCAGTTTATAAACATGCTTATCCAATTGTAAACCTGTATGGCAACTTTACTGAATTATTATTATTATTATTATTATTATTATTATTATTATTATTATTATTATTATTATTATTATTATTATTATTATTATTATTATTATTATTGTTGTTAATAATAATAATATTATTA